ACCCCCCACCGCCAACTCTTGGGCTACTCTTTGCCCAACGAATAGTGGGATTGACCGTCACATTATAGCGCCCCCACGGCATGTTTGGTGGGACGGGGATTCGAACCCGCGACCCTCATATTGCGAGTCGAGCGCCATAACCACCCGGCCATGCCGAGCCTACGTTTATAGTTAATAAGTTAAAAATGACAACTGTTTGGTTAATGTTAAGCGCGAAGGTACACAATAGCTATCTGTGCTCTACCCACCACGGGTATCAAAACTCGATTTTTAGCATCGTACGTCTGCAGAATTTTCGCTGAGCTGATGGGACGAGGAGAAATCTGATTTGGATAAAGTGTAAGATTTAATAGATTTGTGAATAAGGATTTTTTATTTTGTAGTCAGATAATATTGATTTGGCCAACTTCGTTTTTGTATTGAAAAATCATTTTTATTATCTTTTATTAGTTTTATCTTTTTCTCTTCCGTTAAAGTATGTGGATTGCGCAAAAAAGGGATAAGAATCAGTCATCGTCCCATCCGAAAGTTGTCATTAGTGACGGCAAAGAACGATTCTGATACAATATCGTCTGGGTACAAGATTATTGGACTGTTACCGCCATCTATCGGGCTACATAACAGGAAGCGAAGACAAGCGTTGGACGAAACAAAATCAAACCACGAGAGACTGAGCAGGGGGTCTGCCGTCGGAGGAGAACCTGCTCTTAAAGGAGCCTGGCCTTGGATGGTAAGAGAACGGTGACATTTTCGTATCAATTCGGTTGAGAAAAGCTAAGAGAATCTTACCAGTCTGTAGTTTCAGTTGCTGTTTTAACCACTGGAATAACTATTATTTATCTAGCTTAGCTCCTAATTATGGAACATTTAGCAATTTAGAAATACAAAACAGGTCCTAAAAAGTCCGATGAAACATGACGGACTCCACTTTGTTAGAAATACAAAACAGGTCCTAAAAAGTCCGATGAAACATGACGGACTCCACTTTGTTACTTCGTTATTTCCTGAACTTTAGCATCTACTTGTTTGTTTGTAATTATGCACAAAGCTACACAATGGGCTATCTGTGCTCTGCCCACCACGGGTATCGAAACCCGGTTTCCAGCGTTGTAAGTCCGCAGACATACCGCTGTGCCACTGGGGCGGGGCACGTATAATACTTCAGATAACGGGGGGCTAGCACCTATTTAATGTTTAGTTTTATTTAACGTTTTGATATAATAGATGTTTATTTTTAATGGTGTATTGAGGGGGCAGCATTATTGGGGCGGGGCACGTATAATACTTCAGATAACGGGGGAGCTAGCACCTATTTAATGTTTAGTTTTATTTAACGTTTTGATATCATAGATGTTTATTTTTAATGGTGTATTGAGGGGGCAGCATTATTGCGAACAACTTCTGGTTTCTTTCCGAATAGGCTTCAATCTTGATTTCAGGAGGAAATCGATTTCTTTGTGGTGGATTTTTAATCGACGAAAGACACGTGGTTTCTGCAGCCCATTGTTTTGCTGGTATCAGGTACGAATTGAATATTTTATTTTATTTTTATTTCACACGTAAAAACAAGCGAGTATATTGGGTTTGTCAGGTGGTAAGTTCTGGCATCAGTTTGTTTGCTGTCTCTAATGTACGAATTGAACAAACAAACTGATGCCAGAACTTACCACCTGACAAACCCAATATACTCGCTTGTTTTTACGTGTGAAATAAAAATAAAATAAAATATTGTCTCTAATTTTGTAGTGATTGACTAGAAAGAAGGCAGCTGGTCAACACTATCTACGACCACCTCTTGCCAGTTAGTATAATAGAATTTCACCGCAATATTACATTTCTATTTTTTTTTAGCGGTAACAGGACGTGAATTTTAAAACTTCAGATAAACTGTCCGTCACACTGACCACTGAGTCATAAACTGTCCGTCACACTCGGCTCCATTTAGAGACAAATCACTTTTTAACCATGTCGAAACTGTCAGTTATAGAATGTTGAATCGCGATATCATTTGCATGATAATTTTTGGTTGTAGTTCAGCACAAACTAACTACAGGCTATATATATATGCTCTGTCCACCACGGGTATCGAAACCCGATATTTAGTGTCGTGAGCTTGCAGACTTACGGTTGAGTCACTGAGTGGGGGGGGGGGGTCACGATAAGCACTTGTAGTTAGTACATTAATCTTTACCATTAAGTTGTCCACCTTCCCGATATTGTTTCGGTACTTTAAAGAATGTGAAATATCCCGATATTGAGTACGAAGTCACGTGATTATGACAGTAGGCTTAACGTTATCCAAAAGACTAAATAACGCATTACAGCGCAATAGAAATTTCCTTATAAATACACTGAATTATTTACGAATAACCCAGATATATACATCCTACGAACCATTATTTTTGACGAAGATTATTTGTTTTGTTTGTAATTAAGCATAAAGCTACACAATGGGCTATCTGTGCCCTGCCCACCACGGATATCAAAACCCGGTTTCTAGCGTTGTAAGTCCGCAGACATACCGCTGTGTCACTGGGGGGGGGCACCAGTAGGGCAACTGTAGGTTTACGGATATATAACGCTAAAATCTGGGGGGGATCGATTCCCCGCAGTGTACATAGCAGATAGTCCAACGTGGTGGCTTTGCTCTAACAGAAAGAAAGGAACAAACAAGCGATTTTTAACAGCTCTAACTGTTTTGTGTTTATTTATTTTTCATTTCCTAATTTGAAATTCACCAATATACAAGTGACCAGTTTCGAAACGCTTATGGTTAAATTGAGTTCAGAAACTACTTTCACCGAAGCAGGTTATTAATTCGAATAGAACATCCATTACTTAGTTCTTGATGTCGTAAATTATTCACGTAAAAATCATTAATTAAAATAGGAAATATAATTCTCCAATTTCGCTAGTGAGAGGGCGCTATTAACTGTAGTAAGCTTTGTTTGCTTATTTGTTTCAGAATTTTTCGCGCAAAGCAACACAAAAAAAAACTACATGCGGATAGTCTTTCCTAATTTTGTCCTAATAGAGGATGTACCTAAAATACAGGGGCGTCGGGAATATCATCGGGCCCCCTTTCATGGTATTTATTTACTAAAATACAGTATTCATCCCCAATTTCTCTCTGACCGAATAGCGTGACTTGGCAATTACTATTACATAGGGGCGTCGGGAATATCATCGGCCCCCTTTCATGCTATTTATTTACTAAAATACAGTATTCATCCCCAATTTCTCTCTGACCGAATAGCGTGACTTGGCAATTACTATTACATAGGGGCGTCGGGAATATCATCGGGCCCCACCTTTCATGTTATTTATTAACTTTTGCTGATTTTTGTATAAGAAATTCCCCATAAGATTATAAAATAAAATAAAATAAACGACCTAAAATATGAAATTAATTAAAACGAGAATAAATTAGAAGGTGTGGAAAAATAAACGAGTTTATAATATATGCATTCATTTGTTATGTGGAAATCTCGCTGATTTCATCATATTTACTGAACATCTCTTGAATAAAGATGTTTACCAGAATGTTTCTGAGGATTAGTTTGAAGATGTTTACCAGTGTTTCTGAAGATTAGTTTGAAGATGTTTACCAGAGTGTTTCTGAGGATTAGTTTGAAGATGTTTACCAGAGTTGTTTCTGAGGATTAGTTTGAAGATGTTTACCAGTGTTTCTGAGGGTTGCTTTAAAGGCTGTTTACGAGAATGTTTCTGAGGATTAATTTGAAGATGTTTAACAGGATTTGTTTGAAGACTGTTTACCAGAGTGTTTCTGAGGATTAGTCTGAAGACTGTTTGCCAGAGTGTTTCTGAGGATTAGTTTGAAGACTGTTTACCAGAGTGTTTCTGAGGATTAGTTTGAAGACTGTTTACCAGAGGATTAGTTTGAAGATGTTTACCAGTGTTTCTGAAGATTGCTTTAAAGACTGTTTACCAGAGTGTTTCTGAGGATTAGTTTAAAGACTGTTTACCAGAGTGTTTCTGAGGATTAGTTTAAAGACTGTTTACCAGAGTGTTTCTGAGGATTAGTTTGAAG